AATAACCCTAAAACTAATCCCCGATTAATCCCCGATTTTAATCCGATTTTCCGATTAATCGCTAGATCCATGCCGAACGTCCGACTAGCGCCTAACGATTTTTCAAACAAGGGACACAACACTACTATATATATATATATATATATATATATATATTCGATGAGTATGTAAACGCGAAACATGTCATTGTCACACGTTTTTGTTATTCTATACACATAAATTCAAATAAAAAATACTCAAGTCAAAAGAATCATAAAAACAGAACATATCCACTATAAATACTGCTCTAAACGAAATCATTTACACAAAAAAACACAAAAATGGTACTCTTCGCTTTATCAACGACTTCTTCTTCTTCTTCTAAGCTAAAACAACATTCACACCAAAGCTTTTTAGAGTCTCTAATGGAAGATAGTCTCGAAGACGCTGAATCTACCATAAACCAATGGATTTCACCGGAACTCGTCGATGCTTCTTCTTTCTGCTTCATCTCATCGCTATTTTCAACCGAAAACCGCGAAGAAGCCAAACGATTCATCAACACTGTAAACAACTTACACTCCGGTATGATAAGACTAATCTCAGTAAATCCAACGTCAACGAAACTCGTTAAAGCCGAGAATCTAATGCGAATCTCCATGAATCATCTCTCCAAAGAGTTTTACCGCATTCTTAAATCAAATCGACGCTACCTCGACCCCGAATCCGTCTCTATCCGTTCTTCAAAAGCTTCCGATTCCGACTCCGATGTCATGAAAGATTTAAAGATGATCGCGGATTGTATGATATCATCCGGATATAGCAAAGAATGCTTTAAAATATACAAGAAAATCCGTAAATCGATAATCGTCGAAGCGATAAATCAACTTGGATTCGAGAATCTAACGTTTTCGCAGATACAGAAACTTAAATGGGAAGTTATGGAGAAGAAGATACGAAAATGGTTACGAGTTACAACAAGAACTGTGAATACTCTGTTTTCCGGCGAACGAATCCTCTCCGATCACGTCTTCTCTTCATCATCATCATCAATTCGTGAATCTGCATTTGCAGAAATCACATTACAAAGCGCTTTAGCTTTGTTTACTTTCCCGGAAAAAATGGCGAAATGTCGAAAATCTCCGGAGAAGATCTTTCTGACTCTCGATGTTTATCAAACAATCATCGATCTATTGCCTAAGATCGACGAACTCTTCAGCTCCGATTCAACCTCCACCGTCAGATCACAAATCGCTTTAAGTTTAGCAAATCTCAGAGAAGGTGTGATTTCGATGATCGATGAATTCGAATCTTCGATTTCGAAAGAATCGTCGAAATCGTTAATCTCCGGAGGTGGAATTCATCAATTGACGAGGTATGTGATGAATTTCATCGCCTTCCTCGCTGATTACAGTGATACACTCTCCGATATCATCTCGAAACCGTTGTTACCTTCACCGGAAGAAGAAAGCTCCGGTGATTCATCTCCGGTGAAATCGCGAATCGCGTGGCTGATTTTGTTCTTACTCTGCAAAATCGACGCGAAGTCTCGTCTCTATAACGACGTAGCTCTCTCGTATCTGTTTTTGATTAATAATGTTAATTACGTTGTTGTTAAAGTCCGATCGTCGAATCTGAGGATGGTTTTGAGTGAGGATTGGGTTAAGAAGCATGAAGGGAAGGTGAAGAAGTACGCCGGAAAGTTTGAGGAGATTGTTTGGGGAGAGGTGATGACGTCACTTTCTGATGATGTGACGACGGCGGAGGAGAGGATTAGACGGTTTAGTGATGGGTTTGAGGAAGCGTATAAGAGGCAAACCGGTTGGGTTGTACCGGATTCGAAATTGAGAGATGAGATTAAACGGTCTGTGGGGATGATGATTATACCGAGATATTCGGGTTTTTGTGAAAGGTATCGGGTCGGGTTATTAGAGAATGTCGGATTTGCCCCTGAGGATATTGGGAATTATCTTTCGGATTTGTATTTTGGGTCTCGTGGATCAGGGAGTGTTTCGTCTTTCCATTCTTCTGGTTCCTCTGTTTGACACACCTGTGAGTTTGTGATTAATGATATTGCAGCAGTAATTAATATTAGTGTGATTATTTTGATTAGTTTTGCGATTGAAATGGAAACGATAGATTAAAAATTTTTTTTTGGTAGGGGAAACGATAGATTAAAATTGAATTATCTACTTTGTTTTTCTTATAAAAAATTTAGTGATATATTGACCGGCTCAACACTCTTATGGGCTCTAGGGCAAAAAATTTTAGACCCTTAGAATTTTTCTTTTTAGTGTTTTCATGTTGGAAAACAATTTTGTATAATATTTTAATTAAAAAAGTAATTATTAAAACTAAAAAAAATAAATAAAAATAATTATGGGCCCTTCTAAATTTTATTTTTATGTTGTAATCTAATTTTTTTAATACTTTTATAAAAAAAATTTTAAAATAGGCGCTTTAATTATTGGGGATTGAACCCTTGACCGTCGTACCGCTCGCCCCCTATTTGAGCAGGCATATATGAGTTACAGTTTCAAGTTTAATGACGCTCAGAAAATACATTGCAAAGAGAATATTGGAAACAAGATGTTGATGATTCTTTGAAGGTTTTCTTGAAGCTTTGAACTGTTTTATGCAGAACCTCTCTCTATTTCGGGGAGAACGAAGTAACTTCTTTATTAACGACGAACGAGATCGGTTAGTTACAAGGAGAAATGACGAACGTACAGACGATGAGCTACGAACAACCAACGAACGTATACGCAAAGAACTATGACTAACGAACGAAAGTTTACGAAGAGAACTACGAACGAAAGTATACGCTGTGAATAATTCTCTGATCCTCTGGATATTAACCATTGGATCTTCTTGTTACCAATAGTGTCTTATTTATAGGACAATCATTGTGACCTAAGGTCTCTTCTGTTCCCACAGCAAATTACCATTTTACCCTCCAAGCTTGATGGGCTGAATTGGAGAGACAACAGGCCCGATAAATAGTTAGGTCTTTGTTTGGGCCAAATGGCATTTTGTGGGTGAAGCCCATATCCAACAATAAGCCCCCCCCTAGTCCAGCAGACGAGAGTTTTCTTGAATCTGGTGAACGTGTCTTCTGAATTGGATATATGTTAATTTGGCTTAAACAGGGGCGCATGGCTTTTTCCGGTGATTTGTGCCGTGGGCACGTTTTTCGAGGAGCGCGGAGCTCGTTCCGACGATTTGTGCTGTGGGCACGTTTTTTGAGGAGCGCGGAGCTCGTTCCGGTGATTTGTGCCGTGGGCACGTTTTTCGAGGAGCGCGGAGTTCATTCCGGTGATTTGTGCCGTGGGCACATTTTTCGAGGAGCGCGGAGCTCGTTCCGGTGATTTGTACTGTGGATTTTTTTTTACTTCGGTAAACGCGCGTGATACTGACACTTTTCTCTATATATATGTCCCCTCCTTTTACTCTTTTACCACTTTCATCTCTTCACTTTTCCAAAAGGTAAACTTTCTTTCTCTTTCTTCCTTATCTCTTTTGCTTTCTCTCTTTTTTTTGTGTGGTTGTGGTTCGGTGGAGAAGGAGATGTGGTGAGAGGTTTTTGGTTCGGCGATTTGAGACCGTGGTTCGGTGGAGGAGGTCGTTCGGTGGTTTGTGACTCAGCTCGGCGAGAGAAGCTTCGGCTGGTTCGGTAGAGAGCTCGGTCCGTGGTTCGGTGGAGAGGAACACGGTTCGCCTCACAAGTTTTGGGAAGTTGAGCATCTGGTTCGGTGGGAGAAAGGAGAGAGGAGTTCTAGTTCGACGCGGTGGCTCGTTCGTCCCGGTAGCTCGTTCGGTGGTGCACTTGGTTCGGCGAGCCGGTTCGGTGGTTCGTGGCGACGGTGGTTCGGCAAAGAGCTTGGTTCGGCGCGAAGTTGAACCGGTGAGGAGCTTGGTTCGGCGGGAAGGTTGGTTCGGCAAGAAACTTGGTTCGGCGGCTTGTGACGTGGAGAACGGTGGTTCGTTTGTGCAAGTAGAGGAGACCAAGAGGCGGTCCGTTCGGAGAACAAGCTTGGGTTTGGTCATTACGGCGGTGGTTTTAGCGTGAACCGGTTCGAAGAGGAGGGAAATTGTGTGGATCGTTCGTTGTAACCCGCGACTTGTTTTGGTTTGACGATGGATCGCGAATGGTTAGGTATGAACGGTGATGTAGCGAACCAAGGAGTTCACTATGGGGGAATGATGAGTTTGGCTTGTCAATTGAGGACTTTGGTGGTTGCGATTTGGCGGAGTATTCCGGTGAAGTTGATGACGGAGACTTGGGAGAGATTGACAGTTTATTGGGAATGGTTCCCGTGGTTCCCAACTGTGGCATCGGAAAAACTCTGAGCCAACTTGAAGAGCATCGTAGATTCGATGAGTCGAGAAAGAGCGGTGAATACGGAGGCGACGAAGTTATGGAATGCAAAGTTACCGCGAACCCTGTTGGAGATGTTTGGAAGAGGTCGGTTGTTTTGGGGCTTTGTTGTCCAAAACAAGCTGCGCTTGGCATCGGATCGACGTCGGTTCCTGTTGCGCGTGATGGCGGGAAATCGTTATGCACTGTAGAGAGGTTAACCGATTTATTCGAGCAGGGAGTTTTTCCCGAGGATTTGGCGATTATGGTGCCGAAACCGCATCGGCGTCCTTGGAATCCTCCCAAAGGATATATATGCGTATACGAGGATTACTTCACTGACGGCCAACTTCGCTTTCCTCTCCCAGATTTTCTCGTGCAATATTGTTTTCGACGGGGGATCGCTTTTTCTCAGCTTTCTCTTGGTTCGGTTCGCAATGCAGTTGGCTTGATGATGTTAGGGAACGACTGTGGTGTAGAGGTCGATACCGATCTTTTCGAAGAAGCTATTACTTTCTCTGTTATGGCAGATAACCCGGGTCTTTGTCAAGTGAACGCCAGGTCGAGTCACAAGATAGTTCATGGGGTGAAAAGTAAGGTTGTCGACTGGCGGCGATATTATTTCTACGTGCAAGTGTCTAAGATTTTGGCTCCGGCATCTAGCTCTTCTCTTGCTACCGAGTGGAACTTGTTTCCCGGTAGACTTTATTTGGATACGACTACATGGAGTGAATGCTTGCATGGTTTTTGATCGTATTTTGTTTTCTGTTTGCAGCGCACGATCCTCGACCACGTAAAGCTCGCAACGATATATCTGTGGGTCTACGTGCGATTTGGACGAGAGGATCCTTGTTTTGGCCAGGAGTTATCAAGTCGTCTTGTATTCGTACGTTCCTTTGCTAGTTCGTTTATTTGATTGTTTCGCATTCGTTCTCTTATACGAAAGTGTTTTGCAGGTTCACCGTCACGTTTGGAGATGGGGAAAGCGAGCTGTCGATTTCCGAATTATTCTGACTCATTCGGGGTGAGTGGTATAGTGCCGAGCGAGACCGAGACTATCCAGATCGATGAAGAGCCGGAGCAGGGAGTTGTGCAGCCGCAGCTGGTGGCTGAGCCGCAGCAAGACGTAAGTCTTGACGTTTCGGGGAGAACTGCAGTCGTTCCTGGCCGTCGAGCTGTTAGCGAGGACAGGGCGGCTAGGGTCTCTGCTGCTCATTCCGGGAAGAAGAAGGTGTCAGGTTCGACTAACGAGGCCGCCTTTCGTGTTCCCCCCGATGTTGATGTTTCCTTACGTAGGAAGGTTTCTCATGGAGGCCATTTGCGGGAGTCTTCTGGTATCGTACGAGAACGGGGGAGTTCTGCTCAAGAGGTCCGGGGAGTTGACTATTCTTTCTTTTTCAACTATGAGAAGAAAAACGAACCATTTCCGGTTAGCAGGAGTTCTTGTGGTGACTTCGCAAGCAAGGTGTACGGATCTCCTCACGAGTTTCCTCCCGTTGATTCTCTCCTGGGGATGAATCTTTATCAGACTTGGGCTTGCAAGCAGATTCAGGTTCGTTGGATTTCCATTTGGACAGATCTTTATCATTTCTCTTCTTTTTATTTTTTGAGTTCTTCGAATGATTTTGTTGTTGTTCTCAGTCGATCAGTGCCGGAAATGCTCTTGTTGATTTTTACGATCGCCGAGCGAAGGATCTTGAACAGGAAACGGTCGCCCTTAAAGCGGAGAACAAGACCGTAGGTTTTTCTGCGCAAAATCGGTTGCGTGCGTTGAACTCAGAAAAAGGAAAGGTCGGAAATCTCGAGGAGCAGGTCGAAAAGCTTACGGCACAGCTTAAGAAGGCTACTGCCGAGGAGACTAGGCTAAGGGACTCGCGTACTTCTGCTGTTCGTTATGAACGAAACCGGGCTAAGGAAAAGATTACCAAGTACACTGCCCGAATTGAGAGGTTAAGGAAGCACATCCTTGATTGTCGAGCCGCGCAAGATCCTCTGTTCATGCAGTGCCAAGCTACGGGTACTCGGAAGTGCCTAAAGAAATTTATCGCCGACGGCTTGGCAGTTCCGGATGAGAAGATGGCGGCACTTAAAGCTGATAAGCATAAATGGCGTGCGACGGTTGAATCGCTAACGATTACCGATCTTTGCGATGATGATCTTGCTCCTTTTCCGGAGTTGGCGGATGATGCACCGGTGGAGGTGACCGAGGCTGGAGTGGAGGGAGATGGTGCTTAGGTTTCTGGTGCCTTGGTGATCTCTTTGAGTATGAGAATTTGATGTTTGCTATTTCTTCTTTTAGTATTCGTAGATTTTGTCCGGCTTTTTAGCTTGTTGTAGCTTGTCGGATCGGCATTATGTACGGTTGGCCCCGTGTTGGGTTTTGTTGTATTGCGGATTTTTAAATGTACTATGGTTGTTTCGCGGTTGCGGCAGCTTCTTTTTATTGATGACGTTTTCAATTTATTCTTGGTTTTGCTTGTTCTTTATGTTGTACTCATTGTAATTGTGGACTAGGTGCGATCTGCAGCTCGGCTTATCCCGTCTAGTCGCTTGACTTTTACGTGCTGAGAGAAGCTTTTTGTGCCTTTGTCATTTTTGATGCAAGGTTATTCTCGGCTGATTTTTGTGCGAGGTATACTTGGCGTTTTAAGCTTAGTTTCGAAACGTATTGTGGGGCAAGACGTCTCTTGACTTATCATGTATACGTTTGAGCCGGAACGATGAGCTTAGTAGAAAGTAGACTAGGCGGACTAGTCGTACCATATAGGTGCGGTTCTGGTGTCCGGCTTATCCTGTGGGTGCTATGAGGTCGGCAAGAACGTGCAAGCCGGAGCTTGGCTTATTATGATTCGGCCGCCTGCTAGCTAATGCGAGACTGGCTCGGCTTTTAGTCCTTACCGAAGTAAGGATGTGGATTATTTCGCCACTGCATCCATGTGGAACGCGTTTAAATCGAACTCCTGGCCAGGGAGACGATGTGGGAGCTGGTCAATCGTCGAGGCGGACTCGTTCGAAAGAGCTCGTTCGTGGTAAGTATGTTGTCGTTGATTTATACTTGTAATTTGACGATGTGGGAGCTGGTTGATCGTCGAAACGGACTCGTTCGAAAAAGCTTGCGTTAAGTATACTTGTGATTTTTTTGTTTTTTTTTTTTTTGTTTTTTTTTTTTTTTGTTATAGCTGGGCATATGCATTAGTAACGATGCAGTGATCAAAGCAAATCAGCATTTCATATTCAGGAGGGGCTGCCTACGTAAGGAAACATCAACATCGGGGGGAACACGAAAGGCGGCCTCGTTAGTCGAACCTGACACCTTCTTCTTCCCGGAATGAGCAGCAGAGACCCTAGCCGCCCTGTCCTCGCTAACAGCTCGACGGCCAGGAACGACCGCAGTTCTCCCCGAAACGTCAAGACTTACGTCTTGCTGCGGCTCAGCCACCAGCTGCGGCTGCACAACTCCCTGCTCCGGCTCTTCATCGATCTGGATAGTCTCAGTCTCGCTCGGCACTATACCACTCACCCCGAATAAGTCAGAATAATTCGGAAATCGACAGCTCGCTTTCCCCATCTCCAAACGTGACGGTGAACCTGCAAAACACTTTCGTATAAGAGAACGAATGCGAAACAATCAAACAAACGAACTAGCAAAGGAACGTACGAATACAAGACGACTTGATAACTCCTGGCCAAAACAAGGATCCTCTCGTCCAAATCGCACGTAGACCCACAGATATATCGTTGCGAGCTTTACGTGGTCGAGGATCATGCGCTGCAGACAGAAAACAAAATACGATCAAAAACCATGCAAGCATTCACTCCATGTAGTCGTATCCAAATAAAGTCTACCGGGAAACAAGTTCCACTCGGTAGCAAGAGAAGAGCTAGATGCCGGAGCCGAAATCTCAGACACTTGCACGTAGAAATAATATCGCCGCCAGTCGACAACCTTACTTTTCACCCCATGAACTATCTTGTGACTCGACCTGGCGTTCACTTGACAAAGACCCGGGTTATCTGCCATAACAGAGAAACTAGTAGCTTCTTCGAAAAGATCGGTATCGACCTCTACACCACAGTCGTTCCCTAACATCATCAAGCCAACTGCATTGCGAACCAAACCAAGAGAAAGCTGAGAAAAAGCGATCCCCCGTCGAAAACAATATTGCACGAGAAAATCTGGGAGAGGAAAGCGAAGTTGGCCGTCAGTGAAGTAATCCTCGTATACGCATATATATCCTTTGGGAGGATTCCAAGGACGCCGATGCGGTTTCGGCACCATAATCGCCAAATCCTCGGGAAAAACTCCCTGCTCGAATAAATCGGTTAACCTCTCTACAGTGCATAACGATTTCCCGCCATCACGCGCAACAAGAACCGACGTCGATCCGATGCCAAGCGCAGCTTGTTTTGGACAACAAAGCCCCAAAACAACCGACCTCTTCCAAACATCTCCAACAGGGTTCGCGGTAACTTTGCATTCCATAACTTCGTCGCCTCCGTATTCACCGCTCTTTCTCGACTCATCGAATCTACGATGCTCTTCAAGTTGGCTCAGAGTTTTTCCGATGCCACAGTTGGGAACCACGGGAACCATTCCCAATAAACTGTCAATCTCTCCCAAGTCTCCTTCATCAACTTCACCGGAATACTCCGCCAAATCGCGACCACCAAAGTCCTCAATTGACAAGCCAAACTCATCATTCCCCCATAGTGAACTCCTTGGTTCGCTACGTCACCGTTCATACCTAACCATTCGCGATCCATCGTCAAACCAAAACAAGTCGCGGGTTACAACGAACGATCCACACAATTTCCCTCCTCTTTGAACCGGTTCACGCTAAAACCACCGCCGTAATGACCAAACCCAAGCTTGTTCTCTGAACGGACCGCCTCTTGGTCTCCTCTACTTGCACAAACGAACCACCGTTCTCCACGTCGCAAGCCGCCGAACCAAGTTTCTTGCCGAACCAACCTTCCCGCCGAACCAAGCTCCTCACCGGTTCAACTTCGCGCCAAACCAACCTTCCCGCCGAACCAAGCTCCTCACCGGTTCAACTTCGCGCCGAACCAAGCTCTTCGCCGAACCACCGTCGCCACGAACCACCGAACCGGCTCGCCGAACCAAGTGCACCACCGAACGAGCTACCGGGACGAACGAGCCACCGCGCCGAAGGAGCTTCCACGTCGAACTAGAACTCCTCTCTCCTTTCTCCCACCGAACCAGATGCTCAACTTCCCAAAACTTGTGAGGCGAACCGTGTTCCTCTCCACCGAACCACGGACCGAGCTCTCTACCGAACCAGCCGAAGCTTCTCTCGCCGAGCCGAGTCACAAACCACCGAACGACCTCCTCCACCGAACCACGGTCTCAAATCGCCGAACCAAAAACCTCTCACCACATCTCCTTCTCCACCGAACCACAACCACACAAAAAAAAAGAGAGAAAGCAAAAGAAAGCTCTGTTCTTGGTGGGTGAAGCCCATATCCAACAACGTTCCAAACTGGAAACACTACGTCTCGCCGAGATTACTCGGAAATCCACTAGAAAGCTCTGTTCTTGGTTACACAGAGAATAGCTATAAACTCAGCCGCCTCTCTCTTGCTCTCTTAACCCTAAAACATCTCAGCTTACTCCCTTTTATACAAGACAACCTGTCTCTCTCTCTTCTTCTTTCTCGCATGCTCTGTTCCGTACAGAGGAAGGAGACAAATGAGATTGAGCTTAAACATAGGTTAATTACTCCTTTGTCCTACGTTGAATTGCATAGACGTCACGTGAGCTCCTCGTGACCTTTCTTTGTTCCTTTTGCTGAAACCTTCTTCTTGGTTAGATACTCTTAGACACTTACGCAAAACCTCACACAAGAATTACAACAAGAACAATGATATCCTAATTACAAATTCTAGAGAAAAAAAAAACAACTTAAAAAATGTAATAACTGATAACAAGAAACTTTACAAGTTCACTGACGCTCAAAATACATTGGAAAATGAATATTAAAACAAGAAGAATTGAGTTAAAATTATACAAGTCATTGTGAAAAAATCAAAATCAAAATTGTGTTGTAGAGGAAGCAAAACTCTATGTGATCGTTGTGGAGTTTATGTAATCGTGATTCGTGAAGTTGTAAAGTTTGTTTCTGCATTTTTGTGTGCACGTGGATTTTTTGTTTTGTGTGTTTTATGTTTTCGTGGGTTTGTGTTTTAAAATTTAATGTTTCGAGTGTAAGAATTTTTTTTTTTTTGGCTGTGTAGCCTGTGTTTGTGTTTTGTTTTATGAGAGGTAAAAGATAGTTACCGTAACTCAGTTACATCATCCAAGAGCCGCTTGCTTGTTCTTGGCTACACCAAGTCATCTCCAAATTGAAATTCTTTGCTGCTCCTAAAAAAATAAATATTTTGTTATGTATTTTGAGTTTGAGTAAGATAAAATTAATACAACCAAATTCTAGCCAAAGGAATAAACTTACTAAACCAATATTCCCAGACGAGGTGCTTTACTTGCTTCTCATTCTGATTTATACTTATAAAATTTTAACCTGGACAAAGTTTCAAACAACTTATAACGACTAAAAAAGCGGGTATGAAATACAAACCGTGAAATCAAATTACCTTAACCGTAAGTACTAAAAAATTAGTGTTGTAAGTTGCCATTAGCCATGTACTCGTAGCCATCATCGCAGTATCCAATAAACTAAGCTAAGTTTCGTTGATGCACTGTGAAAAGAAGCTCTACCTGCAAACTTTTACACTTTAGCAACCATAAAACAATGTCTAAACTTATCTGATTTCGATTTCTAATGTTTTTGCTGTTCTTACCAAACCCTCCTTTACCGGTCACTTTCGAAGTTGTTTGTAATGCTACATGTGAACCTTGTCTTTCCCCAAGGCAGAAGTGGTCCTGAATAAGCTCCTGAATACACTATGAAACTAACACTCATTTTTTTCAGCATTTATTCTGACTTTTATCAACCCTTCTTAGGTTGTTGTTTTATAAATCCCTGGGGAAACAATTCACACTACTCTTGTATTATGTGAATAAAGAGGTAGAAAGTGTGTGAGTAAGGGTGGCCTTTGTATACTTACAATGACTCAAGAAGGGAGAGATTTCTAAATGAGACGGCTATTGGTCCTTGTAACCAACTTGTACTAAGACTCATTCTCGCATCAAAAAAAAACAAAAACAAGCTCATCAACAGAATTATCCTTGAGGGAGATTACAAAAATTGGTTATTGTCTGGTTGAAATGAATGACTCACAGGGACTTGATTTGGTAATTAGAAGTACCTTCCCAAGGGAATAGTCTTGGAGAGCAAGGATTACCAGTCCAAACCTTATTCACTTTATACGTTGATTTTATGCTTTCTATGGCGTGAACTGCATTAACAAGAGAAAATGGATAACTGTGAGTTTTAGTATTAATCAAGGTTCAGAATATAGCTAGTCAACTAACAAAGTAAAGATGAACACAACACACCGTCTTTGATGGTGGTGGAAAATTCATTCAGAGATTGTGCTGTGGATGTCTTGATTTTTCTGCTCGCAACTGCAAAATAAAGGTAGGTATAGAACAGAGTATTTGGATAGCCTGATGTCCAGGACAATTCCAGAGGTTCATAATCACTTTTAGGCGAAGCAGCTGTTTCAATATATATCACGAGTATTAAATTAATACAATCATAGAAATAAAACTTACTAAACCAATATTCTCAGACGAGGTTCTCATTCATACTTTTAACCTGGACAAAGTTTCAACGACAAATAAATTTCACGTCCATTGAAACCATGAAACTTATAACAT